ACAACAATATGTTGTGATCCGGAAAGTATAACAAAAGATTTTATAATGAGCTGAATCACAACACAAAACAAGGGGTGTTTCATGCTATGTTGCAGCCCACACTAGCCTCGGTCAGCGCTCCTACAGTCAAGGTAAGCGTGCACTCACGAGTGGGGCCACTAGGGGCCTTCTAATGCCCTTGGCAGAGCCCAAGTCCGACGGTGTACCAAGGGGATCAAACGGGATGATCCTAAGGCTATCCCTATGGACTTAAGCTTACAATGCACTCCACCTTTCACAAGCGCCAAGTACATATGATAACACTAAAATTACGGTGCACCTCTTGACATTCAACAGATTTGGGGGCCACGGTACTATCAAATCAGAACATTGACAGGTGCTTTCACAAAACCATAAAAAATGTGCCCTTGCATTTATGCACCCCCCCACAGCACATGGCCAGCCTATCCCCACACATCGAGGAAAATGGGCCGGACCCGTGGGGGCTCTTTATAGCACATTGGCAGTTGCACAAAATGGACAAAATAAAGTGGTGTCACACACTACATTAAAGACAAAACAACATTTTTAAGAGATTGACAAAAGTAGTTAGCTTTTCTTATTTAGAACAGAATGGACAAGTTGTTGGTCCTTTCATGGGACCATGTATAATGCGGTGTACTTGTGTTTTTAAAACAACCATCAACCTCTCACATGTTCCTTTTCTTCTACTAGGTCAACCATAACCATTTTTTAACACCAACTCAACACTTTTGCCCTAAACTAGTATAACTTGCACAACCAATTATGGGGGAAGTCTAAAATATACAATCAGCACACAAGGTGAGGGGAATCAACCTATCTATGACTCTCACTGTCTCACCCCTATCGTGTGCTGAACTTTTCATGGCCACAACTTTTAGTGCATGCAAAATCCTTAATGAAGTTGAAAACAACCTTGCATCGCAGAAGGACTGGCACCATGCCCGGTCTCTAAAATCCCACATAGCCAGCACACCTGCCATGTCAAATATGCATGTGTAGGTGCATTTCAAGTCCTCCACTTTTAACCGTACACATTACATAAAACCCCATTTTTTAATGCAAATTACTGGACTACATGCCTTTCCTAATCAGGTTAGGTAGCCCAGATGGTCTTTTTCAGACCAGGGATGAGCTAGCTAGGCTCATCCAATTCACCCACACAGCCTGGCCCCTTGAGGTCTAAGACCTCCCAAAATTGTTATTAAATCTAGTTAATTTGGAGAACTGACAGGTGACACAAATTTGTTGAACACACAGGGTAGTATTTTATGACCAGCCCTTGTATCCTAAGCTTTTCACCTTCTTTACACTCACTCCTAAGGTTTGTAGCAGCGTGTTCATAACCCATTTTTGGAGTGTTTTCTTTTTCTTTTCTTTTACTTTCTTTTTGTTTTCAAATTCAGCAATGGTGGCATACTCGGGCCATCCCATGCAGTGCATACAACACATATGGTAGATACCCATCGTACACCAACTACATAAGTGACCCACCCAGTGAAAATGGTGGTCATTATGTGGCGTCACGAATACACTAATTGAGTACCATTAGCAACTGAATGCATAGAGATGATGAGGCACCAAGATTTGCATTAAGGACGTTGACGAACGGACTGAATATAAGGGGCAGAGCTCCTGTTGTCCCTTTCCCTCGGCTGTACAACGTTGCCTTGGGCTCGAGCGTATATTCCCCGTTTAGGGATCGCCACCCCTCGATAAGGCAAATGAGATGGAGTGACGACTTCTCGACCGCAGATGGACACATTGCAATGGTTTGTACGAACACAAAGCATCCACATGCACAGAATAGGGCTAGAATGGGCATGCAGCCAAAAAAAAAACAAAAACTCCGCTGGTGGTAGCTTGCGCTGTGCTTGACAATAGCAAATTCGCAACTGGCCGATGTGCATCAAGGTGGAGTGGTCTACTACCTTTCTAAACCTTCAGTTCAGCAACCAACACCTGGAACCTGTCATTCGCCGGAACCTAAACATTGCCAAGAGTTTGCATGCAGAAAACTGCAAAACCACAGCTGATTATGTGCTGAAGCTGATGCGCCACAAATGCAACATGGCTTGTGGAATTTACAAATGAGTGAACGGCTAATGCCGCTCTTCACCCTGCTGGCAAATAACGACAATGTTCATTGGGCCTCTAGTAAGATAGTTCACACATCCTGTGGCCTCCCTTTGTCAGTCCCTCCATGCCACTCGTCAGCCCCATCAGCCTTCTGCTCCTGCCTTCCTGACGCATCCTTACCAGCTCTTTTGTCCTTAAACCACTGGACAGCCCGAACGCGTGGAATGCGGTGCAGATCAAAGAGGCTCCTGAAGAACACACCATTTCTTCTCAAAGGGGGAAGCGCAAGAGTGCAAAGTGCGCCTAAACATGCCAGCTTACACTGTGTACTGCTCAGTACGCAAAGCAGCCACCCAAGCAGATATACTGTAATCACAGTATTCCGCTGGCACATGTATCAAGGGCTTCGATAAAGCACGGTGGTGCATCGCGCCTGGCATGCTGAGCACCAACACATTGGTTCCATATGCACAGCTGGGCCTTCAAACACTCCTTCGTCCACTTTTGTGTTCGATACGTCCATTCTAGAAACAAATACTGGTACGGTCACAGCACCAAGAGTGCAGCACATAGTTCCCCTGGCGTTTTCCCATACTTCAGCACATCCTCAGAGGGGTATTTTGTCTGCTGATACACTCTCTCCAGGGTGTCGATCTCCTGCCTCCCCAGGGGCTTGTTCACCAGGATCTGGACTCTCTCTGCCAACATACGACATAAAAATCATCAGAAAACCTACAATCAGATAAGCAGAAAGAGTGCATGATAACATAATGTAGGAAACAACAACGCAGAATTATGACATAAGAAGGCATCCCCCAGGGAGGATCCCACAGATGCTAGAATAGCTTAAGCAGTGACGGGTCAACTGGAATCGACGTGCACTGCACTGTGTCCCACACTGCTAGCCCACATAGGATGCAGTCGCAGACATTCTTACAACACATTGAAGAGTCTGAGCGCCCTTGCCCAGTACCAGGATTTCCAGCATGCGAAGTACTTCTGTTTGTCCTGCTGAAAACTACAGCTAGATGTTCTGAGCCAATTTTCCTCGTTGAGCCATGCAAGGTCAATTCAAGGGCGCTGCATAATTGGCTTGTGGGTGTATTTAACACAACACAGACAAGTACGGGACACTGGACCCTATCGTGCTTCGCTCAACTCTCCCATCTCTTGCTAAAACAGAAAAATCATTACCATTCGTCATCAAGGCAATGTCAGGCAACAGGAGACGCAGCACGTAGACGATTTATTGTTTGTCATGATGCACCCATATTAAATGCTGCAAGCAGGCCTGGTATTATAGCACAAACATAGACCGTATTTACAATTTTCGGCATAAAAATACTATGCACGCTTTGACAGTAAACAGGCGTAATAATACGTAGCTACAGGCATAAATACCCGCCCGTGCACAGAGAGCCCTTGCTGCGTGGTCAATCAGTGACCGACTGTCCCCTTCGCTCGCCATGGGGCGCAAGGGAATGTTTAGGCCGTCCGCTGGGCACTTTGCAGACGTGAAAGGCTGTGCATACCGTAGCCTAGTCGTGAACAGCGGGGAGGCGCTCTGATGCTGTCATCTCGCAGCCAGGTGCGCTGCAATGGGCAGAGCACAACCTTTATTCGACGACGTCGTTCCCCTTGCCGAGGGCGAGGTGGACGATGTGATGTGGGTGCTCGAGGGGGCAGAGGACCGATCATTGTATGCGATACTTGATCATTGTACTTCATCATGTAAGCTGGGTGTCCCAGCGAGCCGTGCAACTACGCAAAATGTAGCCGCAAAAAATATAGCCCCTTCTGTGTGCTTCTACACATAGAAACGGAAAAGGTAAACATGTAATTGTAAATGTAAATGTAAAGGCCAAGCCTGGCAGCAAGGACCCAAGAGTGCATGGCTATTGTGTGAAGATTAAACACCACCACAAACACTGCAAAACAACAAAGCGGTAGACTCTTGAGTTCAACAGGCTATGCGGCATGTGCTGCTCTGCAGAGAAGCGCCTGCCACACCTCTTGCGCTCATATTTGCAGCCCTCCATTGGTCTGTTATGTCCTCCTCCACTTCTTTGCGTTTCTGCTTTGCATTGATAAATTCCCTTCGCTCCTTTGCAGCAGACATTGCAGCTGTCCTGGCCTCCAGGACACTCTGCTGTATTCTGGAAGAGCCACAATAGCCCAGTTCCATTTTAGTGCAGACCACCAGAGTTGTGGCGCTGTCTGGATAACCAAGGTCAGTGGAGGACTGTGCCATGGACCAGGGCGTCATTTCTATGCTGCCTGAGAGGATCTCCTCATTTAGGTTAGTTGAGTTGTTCCCAATTTCAGTTCAACTCTATTTCAGTCCATCTTAGACCCTTCTCATTGAACATAAGCGACCAAGCAACCAACACTGCACAGCTGCCAATGCTGTACTGGAGCAATAACCTTGCACATCTAGGGAAATGACACGACACAAATGTACTGTAACAGATTGCCATGGTCGCCAATTGAATTTGTACAGAAGCCCCTTTTGTCTTGCAAAGGTGACATAAGTAGAAGAGTTCAGCATGGATCTGTATGGTAAGTAGCACAGTGTGATTCAAACAATATGAAGCACAGGGTTCATGACAATTACCATCACACAAGGCCACACAGTCCAAACCTCTGCAAACTGCAGTGGAATTTCATAGCATCTTTACATTTCACTGGGAAGCTGTTTGCTGGGTAGACTACAAGCTTACAAAATTTGACGCCAGCTGAAACTGCACAGCCTGAACTCAAGACGTTTGATGTTGCAAATGCCCGTGTGTCAATGTGCACAAAACTGTCCATGATGTGTCCAACAATGCTCATGACAGCCCTAAGACATGTTCTAGCCAAATGTGGGTTCTCACTGTTCCATGTCACTCTGAGTTGACCTGTTACTCATGCCACACTAAATAGAGTCCTGCAACGTCTTCTGCCCTGCTAACAATGTTCCCAACAAAATGGTTCGGGGGTGCCCATTGTACAAAATGTTTCATCATTGCCAAAACAATACAAATCCTCAGCCATGCATGGGACGGCCAGATTCTACAGGTCACAATATCACACCTCTCAGGTTTTTGGCTGAAGTCCTTCATCCACTGCAGAACGTCCTTTCTGTCGAGCTGGACCTTCTTTGCAAGGTCATTGAGCTGTGGCACTGCAGGCACATACTTTCTTCACAATGTTCACACACAACAGCACCAGCAAGTGCAAGGAAGCCAAGAAAGGTACCCAGGGATTCCCCAACACAACCAATTGAAAACGTACAGCATGGTTGTGAAAGCAGAAGAGGGCCAAACTAGTCTTATTGTGTGTGGAGGGGTGGGGGGAGTGGGGTGGACATTTATCTGGAACCACACACCACTGAAGATACAGCTGCAAATGGCAGGTAGTCAAATAAACATGGGCCACAGTTCACAGGGCACGCAAAATCACATTTCATCCAACAACCTGCTTCTTTGTAGAAGGCTGTGGCTGTCTTGAACAGGAGAGCACATGCATTTCCGCATGGCACATCAGAAGGCATTATGCAGGGTGTGTATATGCCTGCATAACATAAGGACATACAAATAGAACAAGCAAAAGCCACCCACATGTGGACATGGTCCCAGTGTATGGAAAATGACAGCCAGATCATCCTCTCCATACCAGAGGATAAGCAACCTTGCAACGATGCATTTCCTAGTCTTGGCCTCAGCATTCCACCTCTTCAGAGAACGCTAGGAGAAAACGGCTGCATGCCACAGGACTGCAGCATCATGTATCCATTCGCAGATGACCTTGCTTCGATCCCCTCCAGTCTGATTCCTTTTTCTCAAACCCGATTCCAACATCACCAACCACCAATCCGATGGTGTCACCTTGGCTTTTCGTCTGCCCTTCATGTATGCCTGTTCGAGCTCCTCGACCTGCCATTGCTCCAAGTTTGGCAGTGAACCCTTCCCCTGATCGCGTCCCTGCAGCAAAATACTCATGATATTAACATCACCCAACATCGCAACATTCTCTTCGCGCAGCTCAAACAGCTCTTTTGGCACTTTCTGTTGCCGCCAACGTCACTGGACACTCTGTGTGCGGACATATGCCAGTATTGCCATCCTAAAATCCTTGTGCTCCACGATTGCCCATGACATCCCTTCGAGGTGCAAGGTCTGTGCTTTCTCAGTCTTCGATAACCACAGCCAATGGACTTACAAACTGGTTTCCCCCTCTCCACAGGCCAGCATGCCTCAATCCATAGAATATATTTGTTTTGGCGAGTGAAAGCAGCGCATTCCCTGCATCTTCGAGCCAGTGTTAGGCCAAAAAATTTTGCGGGATCCAGGGAAAAGACAATCTAAACGACAAACTGAGAGACAAGAGAGGAGGCAAGCTAAGAGACAGGCTAAGCGGCAAGCTAGCAGACAAAACAAGAGAAAAGCCAAGCTATGATACACGGCAGGAATCCTAAATTCTCTTTTCTCTTTCTTGAGACTGAGCATTCTTTTGGTTTCGAACAGCTTGGGGCCTTTATGTCGCCCTGCACGCTCTTGCTCGGTGGCACAAGGCCCACATGTCTTGATTGGACCGGGGAGGCGCCTGGATGCTGAAATGTTGTGTAACATTTGGAATAAGAAAGAAAAAGGCTGAGACATCACAGGAGACGAGCTAAGGGACAACTCCAATCCGCCTCCATCGCCGGCATGCAGTGCGCAGCTTCGCCACCGCAGCATTCCCAACCACATTCAATCGATCAAATGTCGCGGCCGTGCCGCCGACTCCGGCTCCCCACCTGGCGGCCATCCCCGGCGGCGCGCGGCGCCACTCGCTGTTGGGGTGAGGCCGCGAAACTCGCCGCCCCGCCGAGGCGCCGAGCCGCGGGCGTTCCGCGCGGCAGGGGCGGCATCATCGTGACGCAAACTCGTGGGGGCGCACCGACGAAATAATATTACTGCCTGCACCAAATCGGTGACTGCTTGCACCAAGTCACGTGCACACTTTGTCCTAACCTCAGTTTTAGGGTTAGGTTTAGTTCAGGGTGAGCTTTAGGGTTAGGGTTAGGGTTAGGACAGGTTTAGGGTTAGGGTTTAGGGTTTAGGTTAGGTTAGTTTTGACGGAGTTGGACATGATGTGCACGTGACTTGGTGCAAGCAGTCACCGTTTTCGTGCAAGCAGTCACCGATTTGATGCAGGGAGTAATTTTATGCCCGCGCCGACTGTCGATTGCCAGCCAGGGCTGGATTTGCCTATGCTGCAGCTTTTTCTTTGGGGGGCGGGGGGGCTGACTAATTGCCAGCGTGCCGCAATGGACGTGGGACGAACCCCGAATCTCCAACCCAGGAACCAAATTGAACCAAACTAGAATACCTAAAATCAGTATTCTCAATCGTGCTGCTGAAGCGGATACATGCAGATCAAAGTTTGTTGTTGTTAGATAATAAGTCAATGCACTTATGCTGGATACAATTGCCAAAACCATAGGATATATCTGGTGTTTGCCCGCGCAAACAGAACGGGACCCCGTTCTGTTCGGATCGCGGTTGGGATGCAAGTTGGCGAAGCATTCCACATTCCCCCCATATTTCATATAGCTTGGATGCAATGTTGTGACTTGCATAGCCCTGCCACAACGTGAGCAGTTATGTACTGAGCACAGTCATCAACAGTAACTTACACAACATATAAAGTTCACTCCTATTTCCACAGAATCTACATAAACCAAGAAGAACCTCAGATCACGCCTGGCTGTATTTGAGAAATACACCGCAGAAATTGCATTGACTAAGTGCAATGGCTGAAACATGCGCTCCATTCGCATCCTCGCGTGTTTTCATCTGTCGACCATCTCAAATTCATGGGACACGCATATTCAATAGGGTGCAAGGTCAGGGCTCGGCTCAATCTCCATCCAAATGCGGATTGTGGCGTGGCATCGGCACAAGAAGTGGGGACGAGTGAGCAGCTTCTCGGAGCTCAGCATCAATTTGACAATGACGTGAAAAGCCGCCCAAATGTCGCTTTTGGCACTCTGACTACAGCAGTTTCAGCAAGTTGATGGGGCAGCTTGCTGAAACCTTGGTTTCTTTTGCAATTTATTTTTGATCTTCAGCCGTCATTGACAGCTTCAGCGACTACGATTTTGGCTAAGAGACTGCAGCAATAACTCTATGTAGAGTATATATGGTTGTTGGGAATTGCAAGGAGAGTAAACAACTTTAATTGTTGGAGCTTTATGTAATGATGATATCAAAGCTTCGTTGGGATTCAGGATCACCTAAAGTGCTGAGATGATTGATTGTTTTCTGCCTCACCCCGTCGGATCGCCCAAGGATGAGTCCATGAGTTGGCGCAACGTCCACACTGGATGAAAAGGGAACAGACAGACGGAGTGTTGGTGACAGACTACACACAAAAATTTGCAAACCAAGTTGATCACATTTAAATGTGATAAATTCTGTTTCCAAAAGCGCTGTCTGAAGCCCCCGCTTGATGGTGACACCGATTGTATGAACTCCCTGGGGTCCAACAGGGCTCCCCATTCAGTTTGCAGGGAGGAGTCGCGCACCATTTTGGCACCGGCGCTGGATTTCGCCATTTGTGCGTTACTGCATAATGACTGAGACATCCCAGTTTGCGGCATTGATGCGACCCTGCGTTGGGCCTTTGTGCATTTGTTGCGCTGATGAAGGCAGGCGGGATCGAGGGGCGACAAACCCGAAGGAGGGGGTTTGGGGCGGCCGCACATGGAGCACATGGCAACGGATTGCACCGGAACAAAGGGTCACCTGGAACCGCCCCCTAAAAGCAAGGTCACACATAGATCCATTGTCCCAGTTAATGGCACAACAGGGCAGAAAACGTGGGCTTACCGACGCCAGAGCGCTGCTTTTTTGAAAGCGCGCCGCCGCGCCACACTCAATCACGGAGGGAGCAAGCTGTTGCTCACACCCTCTCGTAAAGGGCATATAATTATTCCCCGTTCTTGTTTGCTGAGCTTCGGTTCTTGTTTTCGGACACCCTAAGCCCCAACTACTGATCCACGCACCGGGACTGGCCTTGTCAGCGGAACAAGAACCGAATCTCAACAAACAAGAACGGGGAGTAGTATATTATCGCAGGCTCCAACCTCGAACGATCGTGCGGCTGTGGCCAACGTGGCGCCACGCGCTCATTCTGGGACGCGCACAGCGCGCCCGCCCACAGAAGGTCAAAACACAGCAGCCTCCCCGCACACAGGAGACTCGCTAGTTCGCGGAGAAGCTCCCCCTGGACGGGCGACGGGGCTTGGCAGCCGAGAGCTACTAGCACTTCGGCGAGTGGGCTGCCGCTTGATTGGCGGCGTGGAGGCGGGAGGGGAGATCGCAGGGCCGGCTCGTCCCCCGGAGCGGAGTCGCGAGTCCGTTAGGCGGAATTCGAAGATGTCCGGGGCGCGCGACTTGCGATTGATTGTCCAGGTGGGCGCGGAGCGCGCCGGCTGACGCGGGAGATGGCGGGGGAAGTCGCGGGGCGGGCGGGCGCCTGCTTGACCTGGACTGCAGATTGGGCTCGTTAGGGGTGCCAGGAATGCCCTCTGCTCCCGTCTTGGGAGTGTTCGCAGTCCTGAGATTGCTCCTTGTGCCTGAGGTTTCTCCTTGTCTCCTGAGACTTCTCCTTGCGTCTCAGGTTTTCCATGTGTCTGAGACTTCTCCTTGTCTCCTGGCACTTCTCCTTGCGTCGTGAGATTTCTCGTTGTGTCGTGAGAGATCTCCTCGTGTAATGAGACTTCTCCTTGTATCCTGAGACTTCTCCTTCTGTCTGAGATGCCTCCTTGTGTCTCTGTGTTGGGAACAGTACTTCGGAAGGGCGGCGGCGGCCAATGCCGCGGCAGGAGCGAAGGCCGCAAAGACGACGGCCGCCCCGGAGGCCGCCAAGGTACCGGGACTGCGCAGGAGCGGGAGCGTGCAGACGGCGGCCCAGATGCTCGTCGAGGGGGCGCGGCAATCCTGCGCCACGAATGCGGGCCAGTCCAGGTGATGTTTTCGCTGCAGTGCCGCGCCGCTGTGCTGTTTTTGCAAGGGGGCAGGAGTGACCGGTTGGCGTCCCACCTGGGTCGGGCGCCCAGCAGGCGGGCAGACCACCTGGCGAGTTTTCAACTTCTCAGACCCCTTTTTGTGGATGGCGTTCTTCTGTACTGTTTTGATTCCAAAATACTACATCACATTTTCAGTGTCCAGGTGCCTCCCCCGTACTATCACAAGATGTGTGGGATCTTGTACCACATAGGAAGGTGCGCAAAACGATGTTAAGCCTCGAACTGTCTCCTGGTGGTTTGCATGGGGCGGTTGTAATGTTCTTCTTTCTGGAGGGGAGGGCTGCATAACCAACTGTTTGGCCTCAAAATTGTTGGGCGTGGGCGGCTGAATGACGCTGTGCTGATGCGCCAGGGCCATGAGCACCGCAGTAGCTAGGAACGTCGGTAAGGACGAAAGGCTGTCGGCATTAGAGCTGCAACGGTTTGGAGTGCGGTCCACACCTTTGCTCTCGAGTCTGCGACAGCCAACAACTGAGATATGGTGGGGCTAGTCGACGGCAGCTGCAGTCTTTGGCAGAAATCCTTCTGAGGGAACATGCGGGCTGGGATAACTACCCCCAAAGCAATTTGAAGGCAGCGTTTTCGTCGTTGCAGGAGTGCAAACTCAGAGACTAATCGTTTGCATTTGCATTGTCCTATCTTTGTGCTGGTGTGGGCTTCGTATTCTTCTGACAATTCGGAGACCAGGCCGAGAGTCCTGTTGTTGCCATCGAAAGGGGAATGAACGTGGGAATGAAACTGGTGTACGTCGGCAGGCTTATGCGTAGAAAGGCGCTCAAGAGCGTAGACGGCAACAACAGTGAATATTGAAGGGTTAATTTATTGGGAAACTTAGGAATGGCAGCAGCGCCAATAGTGGTGTGGT